TTAAAAAATTACCATAACCTTTCTGTAAGCAGGAGGTGATGTTCTAAACAAAAGAGGCTGCCTGCAGTCTGCTGGCTGGGCTGAATGGCAGTATCTGAAAAATTTTAGACATATCCAGAAAGAATTTGTTCTGTCACTGTGTAGTTGTTAAGCTCTGTAGTAGCCTTGTTTGCACCATTTTTCCTGTAACAGTAGTGTGAGAGAGTACTTGTTTAAATCGAGTTAATTCTGTGCAATATAGTAATTTTAAATGACTGAAAATATTTTAGAATTACTTTGTCACGGTAATACAAGAAGTCTGCGAGCTTCATCACATGGTGGGGCATCATTTCTGGCCATCATAGAACGTGAAGGGGATCAGCAGTGCCTCCTTTTACTTGGTGTCCCCTTCTCCCACCATTTGTGCCTCCCTGCGCAGAACAGGTTTAGGACCAGCTCACTGTCTGTTTCGCAAAGCGTAGAAGTGGGTTTTGCTCCAGGCCTTCCTGGTTCTCTAGGTTGCAGGAGACAGACCTGTGGGTGAAAACTGGGGATTTTCCTAAAGGTTTTTTTTTTTAGAGCAGAGCTGTTACTAAACTGCATTGAAAGTTTTCATATCATTCTGCTTGTCATTCATATTTTTGTAAGTATTAATCAATTTTTATGTGCTTTTGTATGTTATTTTTAACTATAAGCTGTTACGATCATGGATAGCGTATTTTTTTTTCAGAACTAACACTTTTTTGATAGGTCTAACAAAGCATTGGCCGAGTCTCTGGATAAAGCAAACGACCCATTGGATCCAATTGTAAATAAACTGTTGCGATCTATGGCCACTCATGCAATGTCTAATGCAGTGTACTTCTCGACTGGGTCTTGTCCCGAAGAAGAGTTTCATCATTATGGTATCTTGTCGCTTTATTTTTCACGCTATTCCCGTTACTATTTCTGAACTGTTGGGCAGGAGGCAGTTGATTGCTTCGTTTGCTCATCACCACTTCCTTTTTTTATTTGCAGGACTTGCCTTAGAGAAGTACACTCATTTCACTTCTCCAATTAGAAGATACGCTGATATTGTTGTCCATAGACTCTTGATGGCAGCGACTCTGAAGGAAACTAAAGGAGATGTTAAGGATAATGATGTATTTAGTAATAAGGATCTTCAGGAATTGTGCAAACACATTAATAACAGAAACCGGGTAAGATGGTCCTTGTGCTTGTCTCCGTACGTTTGTATGCTGCCCAACAGAACGGGATGCCAGTCCTGACTGTGGCTTTTGAGTACAACGACATAGTATCACTTCATTTTTATTTATAATGCTTTTGTTTGTTTGTTTTTTTACTTAAATATCAGTTTTCTTCTGAGAATAGTAGTAAAAGTGAGTTCGTACTTCACCTGTACTACATGTAGGATTTCCTTTTAAATGTAATTTTTCTAGGGGATGGGTAAGGGGTTAAGTAGTGGGAAAAAGAAACTGTGGAAATCGAAGCCAAATGAACTCATTGAAATATTAATTTAGGTGGGTGGTTTCTCTTTCTGTGGGGGATGCTTGCAGGCAGCCCAGCGTGCTCAGAAACAGTCTACCGAACTCTTCCAGTGCATGTACTTCAAAGACAAAACCCCAGAAACAGATGAGCGCTGCGTAGCAGATGGTGTTATTTACTCAATTCGGACAAATGGTGTGCTTGTGTTTGTACCAAGGTGAGTTGATTAGAGCTTGAACCGAGAAGTAAGGTGTGGTACTAGAAGGCTCGGAGGATGCCTCTGGTCCTTGAGAAAGGAAGCATTTATAGCATAGCCTGGTGTTGACCGATGACCGCGTTCTAGATTGTTGTAAATCATAAGCAGAGCTTTTCTATGCACCGACTCTGAGAAGGAGTTCCTATGAGGAAATGGTAAGACTATGCTGCACACAATGGATTTATTTCAAAACATTAAAAGGACATTTTTTGCCCAAGCAGCTGCTAGGGCAGAACAATTGCTGGAATATTCCCCCCTCCTTTTTTTTTTTTAAACAATAAAAAGTGATTTTCCAAATCAAAGACAGACATGCATTCCTCAGTGCTCTTTTCCTTCACTACAGACTGTAGTTCATGTCTAGGACCTTTTTCACAGCTGCTCCTCATAGGCAGCAGGGAAGCACAGAAAAAATGGTTACAAGGTGCTGTTCATGGCAGGGAGGCTCTGAGAAGTGCTGCTATCTCAGTTCAGCCTCTGATTTATACCAATAGAAAACAACTCTTTGTGTGAAGCTAATATTACGCTTTAATTTCTGAGTGTTTAAATGTGTAATTTAAAGTCTACTAAATGTGTTCTGCTTGTGTTTATAAACTGACGAGTGATGTGAGAAGGAACTAGTCACCACAGAATTGGAATTGGAGAGCACTGCCTGTCCTAAGACTTGGCGAGCTCTTCATGCCGGGGGGAAAGAGAGCTACCTCTCCTCTCCCTTACTGGCTCTGGACATTCTGGATTAGTTAACCATCCTCATGTTTGTGCGTTACTGGAAGCAACACTGTCTACCTGGCTAGCTAAGGGGTACAAGAAATGTAGGTACAAAACCTCTCCTTTAAAAAAACCCCAACAAACTCACAAATACCAAAACCTTAAAAAACCCATTTTACAGGCACATTAGGTAAAGCAAACCATGACACGAGTACAGCCAGGGGTTGCTTGATCCTGCCCACAGGCTGAGCTCCGATACAAACCAGCTTGATGTAGGCCTGCCATCTCCAGCATTCCAGAGGGCTTGGATGTGTGGCTGAAGAGCCAGAACCTACCCAGCTAAGAAAGGCTCCTTCCTACCCAGTGCAAGAACGCTGCTGGTCTTTAGCTTTTTTTAGTGGGGAACTGTTTCCTCACTGTGCTATCTGGAATAACCTGTAACGCTGCTCTTCTCCCATTATCAGGCCATTCCGGGCTCCACCCAACACCTAAGATCACAAAACATGTTTTACTTTTGCTTGGCTGCTTTTGAAACACTTGTCACTGTCTTCACGCTGTTCTCACTCCAGGGGTTTCTTTGCCAACACACATCAGCATCCTTGAAGCAGGATTATCACACTCCAGTGTTTGCCCCTTCATAGTGCTGTTAGTTAATCCTAGCTCAGCCTTCTGTTGGTTTCAAAATTCAGGGAACTGACAAGGGTGAAATTTGTCAGAACAGCTTCTGTCTGCTCATCTGCTTTTTTGTAGATATGGAATCAAAGGTGCTGCGTATATGAAAAACAAAGAAGGCTTAGTCATTGCCTGTCAAGGTGATAAGAGCTGTGAGTGGAAACCTGGATCACTTCATCGCTTTCAGAATAAAATTACATCCACTACAACTACTGGAGAATCAGTTACATTAAGCCTTTTCGATCATATTACAGTGAGTATTTAATCTGAAGGAAGTAAAAGGAAATAGCACCATCAGAAATTAAATAACTTTTATATCGCTTTTAAGGTGAAAATCCTGGTGCAGACTTCCCGCTGCCATGCCGACACAATCAAGCTTGAAATAACCAGGAATGCACCATACCAGACCTCAGACACGGAGGTTTCCCAGAAGAATCTTCACATGGTGAAATCCGACTTAGTAAAAGAAGTCAGTCAGTCTGCAGAAGCAGCCCAGCGTGCCCAAGAAAAAGCAAGAGTTGATGTAATTGATGAAGACTATCAGGAGTACTGCCAGACCAAGGGAGCGAGTTTGTACCAGCTGCTGGAGGAGATCAGGGATTTGGCGCTGTTAGATGTTTCAGCTGACATTAGAACTTGAACTACAACCTAGCAATGTCTGCTGGCTGATGGTCTGCTCCTGTTCACTTTGTATCATTATGTTGGGGTGTTGTTTTTTTAAAAAAAGTCTATTTAAATGTTCAAGAGTCCTTTTATTAAAAAACTAAATGTCTATTTTAAAAAATAATTTTTTACTGATTATGAACATGTATGAGTTTTAAAAAGATTTTATACATGATAAATCTCATCTTCCAGACTAAAGACAGCGTGGTGAATTCTTTTAACTGTCATTCAAAAAGTTACTTGCCCTTGTCCATAAATTAAGTTCTTAAAACCTCAGTATTTCCTACAGCTGTTGGCTGTCTTCTACTGTACCCATAGCTACAAGGATAAAAAAAGCAAACTCCTTCACACTAATCTGGAATACACAATTTTGTTTATTGAAGTCCCCTAGGTATAAAGTTACACCTGTTGACATGAACTTACTTCATCTGCTGTAAGTGCTGCTCTTAATTCAGTTTCTAGAAATTCAGCTTCCTTTCTGAACGGCAGCCTACCGTGTGCTTTACCATTATGGTGATGCTTGTTCATTCCACAAAAGGGAAAAGCTGTTGTGCAAGAAGGAAAAACAAGACTGTAAGAGGAGGATGAAATGGAGCTTCTGGAGAGAACAGAATGAGCCGAAGGAAGAGAACTGACAAAGCATGTTCCCCTAAGGGGAGTTACTTGTCTGTGAAGAGATGTCTGACCAGCACCAGGAAGGTTGCAGGGCCTGTAGTTGTAACAGCCTCATACAAGAAGTTGGTTTGACTTCTGAAATTTAATAGCTTCCATTTTATAAGAACAAGATACAGGTACTTGATAAGCAAGTTAAAAAATCCAAGACAGCTGTTCAGACATAGCACTATGCACTATTACGTACACCCTGTATTAGAAAAAAACTAACAGCAGCTTTAATAGAAACTTCACCTGCCAATATCCCAGTGAATTCAGTGTGACATCAATTGTAAACAAAATTCCAAGTAAGTTGAAAAACTCATTAACATTTCCTCAAGAATGTTGGAGGAGGGGGAAAAGGTGTCTCAAATGCAGATGAAGAACTTTGTTCTGTTTTCCCATGTACAGAGTTGCTCATCTGCAGTTTCAAGAGAAGAGTTCTGTCCAACCATATAGATGTCACTCACAGTGAGCACAAGGCTTCTGGAGTCAGAGCGCAAAGAGCCAGCAACATTTCAATGTAACAACAGTACTTAAAACACTGGAGTGTTTCTGTTCCGAAAGTCATTCAGAGCATGGCGAACGGCTACTGCTTTTCACTGGCAGATTCCAACTCTCTATCTCCATCTTCTGTAAGAGCAGCCTTGGTTACAGTAACCTGAGCATCTTCAATAAGGTCAGCAGGATCCTGAGCAACTGGGGTATTAAACTTCTCTTCCGAATAATGAGTGGAGAGCTCTGCTGAAAAAAACACAATTTCCTACCATGAGCAAACACTCTTGCTGTCTGTTTAACTGCAGCTTCTATCACTAGAATCACAGTCTGCAGGAAAGCCAACTCCAGAGATGACCAGTGAGTTGAGTTTCATTTCAAAGACAAAGCTATCACAACTTGGCATGACAACTAGGGAGAGTAGTTCTGATTTAGCTTTGGAGGAGTCTAACTACAGGAACACAGTTTAAATTTGAGAGTTACACCTTTTGCTACTTAGAGAAGAGTAATCACTATTATTTCCTTTGACTGACTCTGAAGCTCAGTTGTACGAGCTTCTCAGGCTACTGACCTTACCGTTAACACCTAAGTTACAGAGCTGATTACCGTTGTGTTGTGACTGGCTGTTACACTGCATCTTCGCTTGCCTGCGTTCCAAGGCCAGCTGCCTGTTCTTCTTCATTCGCTGCTGTTGCTCTTCTGTGAGAGTTGTGCCCGACGGAGAATTGAGTTGTTCTGCATTTCCAGAGCAGGCATGTACATCTTCAGCCGCTGTGTCCAGTCCATTGCTTTCCCCTCCACCACCTGGTTAAAAGGGAGGGGTGGAAGCGGGAAGAGGGGCAGAAATCAACACTTTGAACCCAGAGGTATCTACTGCTAAGTATCTGTCAAGAGAACGTTTTTAAAGCATTTCTGTGTTCTATTCACAGTTGTACTGACAGCTGAAGATCATTCCATGATTTAGTTTTAATGGGAATTTTCTGCCTAGGTCCACATACCTGATATTCAAAGTATACAACAAATGCTTATCGGAGATCCCAAACACACAACAGTAATACGAACGTGAATGTAGAGAGGCATAGCTCTGGACTAAGGTATCAGTCATGAGCTGGGCTTGAAGGTTAAAGAGAGACAGTCAATTCAGGCAGTCCTTACTGAAAAGCCAGATAATTTTCTTCCCACCTCTACAAATACAACACTGTCCTCTGGAAAGCGGCAGGACTAGTTACAAGAATCAGACAAAGGTTCGAACGTAGACATTGAATAGTCAGTTCTGAATTCAGTGTGCTACTATTATGGGATATTTACTCATTTGCCAACATTAACGCATGCAAAATGGAGGCAGTCCAGCTCTGTTAGACAAACTTCACCCACCAACAGAGAAGCAGAGCACTCTCAAAAGAGTGCCTAAGGCCAAGTATGCTCATGCCTCTGCACCACTTTAAGCCTGTGAACAGAGAAGTTAGCTGACAACAAGGTTTTAATACAACACCCTGGCTTGAGTTTTTATTCCAAAACTGTAAGATATCCACTCAAGGTTTTCAACTGAAGACTGATCAGTTGTAGCAGTATACTTGCTAACACGGGCCAAGGACAGGTCAGCACTGGATTTCAATGCAAATGTATGGAACCATCGCACAGAAAAATCTGATGACTCTACAGACCCTGTCGGCAGGAACCATTTGCTTTACTGTTTGTGGCTGCTTACGGCCGCATTCCATTTCTAGCCAATGCAGCCAACAGTGAAGACAGCCACATGTCACTAACCGCCCAAAGGCCTTACCCACGGGCAAGGCAAGGCTTTACCTCTGGTTAACTCATCCATCAGAACAGCTGTCCCCAGCACTGGCCTGTCTGCAGGCTGAGGTTCACGTGAAGACGAGCTGGACAATGGGTAGATAATTGTTTCAGGAGAGAAGGCAAGTGTGAACACCTGCAAAGGACCTTAGGAACGACTATGAAATTCTCTCATTTCTGCTAATGAAGTTTCTCTCAAACTACCAGGTGAACTCTACTCCTCCTTTTTGTTTAAAATAATAAATAATATTGTTCATTTCTAGTCTATCTAAAAACTTCATCTGATTAGAAGAGACTCTTGAATTATCTATTTATTAAGTGGCTGGATTTTTATACTGGAAGAAATACTCAGTAGTAGCTATACGTCAAGATAGACACATACACGTGACAGTGCCCACAAGCATTACTAAGTACTTTCTCTATAAAGGACACCACACCCTGACTGCACTGTAACAGCTTGTAGTATAAGCGGTATGAGTCTTTGATTTCTTCATTAGTAAGATCCAAGAGCTCTTCAGACTTGACGCTCATACGAGTACAATACAAACCAGTATGTTCACTTAATAATTGCAGTTTGCAGGGGTTGGGGGGGTTGGAAGAACATTTCTACCAATACTGGTAATAATACCCATTTTCCATTTCTTTTCAGTATACCACACACTTTTTTTTATATATATATATAAAAAAAAATCATTTTAGTCCAAGTACCAGATCAGTTTTGTAATCCTAAGTCTCACAGAAGCTTGGTTTTAGAAAAACATATCATAATCATTAATTTCTGGTCAGTAGGAAGGGAAGTAATTTTAAGCATGAAGTACTGAACAAACAGCATAATGAGTATACCTTCATTACTTGCGAAGTCTTCATGTAAAATAGGAAGATCAAGTCTAATCCGCTTTAGGCAGGTCTGCAAATGAGAGATTAAAATACTGGTATTTCAACTGTAACAAAATCTGTTGTGCAACATTGCTATGTTTTTAATACTACTCCCAATTTCTCTTTACATTTTATTACTCTGAAAAAACATTCCTTTCACTACACATCTGTTTGACCCACAACTTTTACGCTGTAGATTGTTTTCCTAGTCCTTCATCTATCGCCAAGCCAGATGAAGCAGCATTCTTCGCAAGTTGTCTTTTGCAGGTTCAAATGTTAAAAAACAAACACAACCTCAAACCCTAACCAGTTCCAGCACTCTTAAGCTAATTACTCTGGTTAAAGATGTCCTGAAAAAGTTGAAGCCAATTCTCTGAACTACTACTTCAAATAAAGAAAGGTTATATCTAAGTACTAAATACAGTAAATACTGGAAAGACCTTTTTTTTTAACAAAAAAAAAAAAAGATAATTTAAGTAACATTATACTCCTTAGTAATATGCACTTCTGCTGCTGCATAACTGCTCTTCTAAACCTACTTCTTACGCTATTCAGTACTGCGCAGAAAGAAACTGACAGAAACAATACATACCTGAACTTCCTTTTTGTTTCCCAAAGACTCTACTCTGTCAATAAAATCCTCAAATTGCAATTTTGGAAATAGTCTATGAGCCCAATGTTCCATATGTCGTATGAGGGTCTTCAGGTCTTCTGCCTAGAGAATAAACAAAGATATGCAGCTAGTGAAAGTTCACTAAGTCAATAGACTGCAGAGGGAAACATCACAGCAGCATTTCTGAAAATATTAAACATCTACATTCAGGAAAAGCATTTGCACATACTGTAAGACATCTGACAGGCTTCTGAGAAGTTCCCCTTAAACAACCGAGGTCTGAACCCAGACTGAAAGAAAAATCTGCAGGGGCACGGCTGGCATTTATTTTGATGTTTAGAACACACAGAAAAATGTACATCTAAATAACCTTATCTAGTAAAGATTTTTTCTCAGATCAGCAGTACTGCCTTGTTTCTTTGTGCCTCCTTCTTGTGCTGTAAAGAGAAAATTTATACCATGAATGTTCTCAGTGAACCAGAGATGCACAGGCATCCTTATCCAGAGAAAAATGAGGTTTTTATGTTTAAGTTAAGACAACAAGACAGTTTGTAGAGAAAATACTGCTTTCTCTTTGCTTAAGTGGTATGTCACGCTTTTTTCAATATTAAAAACTTTGGGATAGAGGTGTCACAGAAGATTTTCACTACCAGAGGGAACTGATCATGAAATAAGATGGTAGAGGCATTCCAGATGTTGTAGGCAGTCTTATAAGGCTCTTCCAATTTAAAAAAAAACAAAAAACCAACCCTTTCGATGAACAATAGAGTCACAGACAGCATATTTTAGTTTTGAAGTAGAAGAAAAAAGTTTTAAGATCAAAACATGGATTTTGTTAAAACTTTTTTTTAAAAAAAACCAAACACCAACCTTGCAACTACAAACCCCATCAGACTACATCCAAATACTGTTAGAAAGCTGGCTAATTGAGTGTATTACCAGTTCTCCCCATATCAGATGGGCAGCAATTTATCAAATCTAGATTAGCCCCCCAAGAAACAAAGCAAAAGCTCCCAATATCTTACCTCGTGCCCCTTACCCTTGAACTTTACGTTGTCAAACATGTGTCTTAGGGCTGGAAGTCCTCTTTCTGAAATTAACCTGTTAATAGAAAATGGGTGAAGTTATTTGAAACTCATACTTTCTTTTTCTAATTAAAACCAACAAACAAAAAAATAAAACAAACAAACCCCCATACCCCCAAACCACACAACCAACCTCACCTTCCTTCACATAGCCTAAAGCTACGGAGCTGTATTGATGTGTGGAAGTCGTTAAGAAAACGCACAAAAGATAAAGACTCTGTAAGACCAAAGACTTATGTGGAAATTTCCCCATACATGCATTCCTAGTCCAAGGAGCTCTTTTATTTTGATTACACAGAAAGTCAGTTCTAGTACCATTATGGGCCAAGTAAAACTAGTTAGATGCAGGACCAGATACCATCCACCTGTGGTATCACTAACTTCATCAGTACATTTAAAACAGAATAAACTGAAAGCTCAGATTTTTCCCATTGCTTATAAAGAACTTATACCAGTTTTAGTGATAACAGCAAAGAAAATATTAAAGTCCTTTATCGTGATACAGAGTTTATACAGCTTGTACATAAGTCAGGTGTAAGTGTACTTTGAGTAGTACCCTATAGTCACCATTATATTGAGGTTTTATTTTGAAGCACAGTCAAAGAAAGAAATCTACAGTACTATGTCTAAAGCAAAGTAAAGACGATCCAGCTGGAAAAGTCCCACGTATGAGTAATAAATACCTCTTAAATTATTAGTCATGTACTAAGTCCCAAAGAGACTTCAAGAAAGTCAGACTAGTAATAGCATTATACAGGTAGGCTAGGAATGAAAAGGTTGAGATCCAGCATACAAGACGCACTTTCATCTCCAAAACTCTTGATCTTTGACTTGGCTATGACCAAGCACGGATCACAGTAACCTTAATCAGTCCCCCACAGCCATATACCAAATTCATCACAGAAAGAAATATTCTGTAAAAACAATTACCTGTGGGCATCTAGTTTAGGCATTGGTCTTTTGACTGCTTTCTGTACAGCTACAGCAGAATCCTTTGCTTGTGACTGCTGGTTTCCATCTGGTTCTAATAAAGAAAGAAAAACCCGCATGCTTTAAGTGTATAATCCAAATGACATCAACTAGAATGATATCAAGTATATTTTAAGTTTCTACCCTATCGAAAAGGCAGTGTCACAAGTATTCTATTGCAGGTATAGTACTCGAAATAAATATCTGCATATTTCACGTTGCTTCTCCCACAAGACTAATTGGAAATAAACCTGTCTCTTCAAAACATACTGAGGAATTGACTTTTCTAGCAAAGTAGCTTCCTTGAAACAGAAATTTCCTAATTTTAGAACTTTTATATTGTATTTCTGATGATAAATGTATTGAGAGTAGATGCTGCTTCTGAAAGTTAAGAAAATCAAATTATCAATAAACATAATTTGACAGGTGTGTCCCAAAATTTCCACCGATAGATCTGAAAGACAGACCTAAACCACCAGCATCACCTTCAAAAAACAGAGAAAGAGGCGATGTGTGACCACAATCAATGTGTCTTTTAAGAACCAAAGTGCATATACTTTTTGATCAGGGCCAGTATGTATTATTTGACTGTAACAGACAAGGCACCACTGCCCATCTTATCTCAAAGCTAGCAGTTTTCTTTCTGATTTCTCAGTTTACTTTTTGTTATTTTGAACATCAGGAATTCAGATGTTGTCCTTTTCATGTATCAAGGAATTAAATCTATCCAAAACCCCATTTTCTAGTGAACAGACAGAGCAGAGATCAAGGAAAACATGTTTAACACTATAGGCAAAATGAGCAGAAGTAAACGAAAGTTAAAATACAATCTTTATACTTTCCATTAGCTTGTTCAGTACACAGGAAGATCTTTTCAAAAGTTTTACTGTCCTGAAGTGTCTTCGATTTTTCCTAGGTCATATGCTCTACAAAACCTACCAACATCTCCCTGGAATATTACATTCAACAGTCTTACCTCTTCTGAAATCCAAGGCATAAAGGGTAACTATAGACCACCACTGTGCAGTTATCTTTATCAATATTTTGTCAGAAGAGCTTGAATTTTATAAAGATTCATTTGTGTGCATATTTTCATGGAATCTACAAAAATAAACCTCTCCCACAAGATCAGAAGCATAGACGCAATAAAAATTTAAATTGCTTTCTTATCTACACAAGACTATTTTTATGCAGTAAACTCAAAGCAGTGAAGAAAACCACCAGTAATACCAATTTCACAGCATTTCATTGTCTGTAGTGCAAAATGGAATCTTTAGGGGTCTCAGGTGTTCACCTCCATTAGCTTGAGCCCATTCAGCATCATCTCTTCCTGGAGAGGCAGGAGGTGGAAGAGGTGGGAACGTTTCATCTTCTGTATTCTCATAATCAGGAAGATCAAACAAGTTGTTCTCTAAAGGATCTATCATTGCCACAGATAAACTTTTCTTCCCTCCTACAGGAAATACCAAGTGCATTTAAAAGAGAAGCAGTGAGAAGAAAAAGCTGCCACAGAAGCAGCTAAACATCAGTTATATACAGTATGTCTGCAGCTTTTCCAGAAAAAGATTTGCAAACCAGAAAAAAGTGTTATACAAATTAAGTAGCAGATACCATACAGATGACACAATCCACTCTCACTAGGCTGAAAAAAATAAGGGTTTGTCATGTTTCAACTCATCAAAGTTACTTGGGAGTGGCAGGTACGGGTCACAGGAATAAAACAAAAGAAACGGATCTCTAATCAAGCACTTATCAAGACAGCTGGTTTCCACTCACATCCTTGATTATCAAAGACTTGGGGGGGGGAGAGATAATTCCCCTGATTTTCAGCTTACCCACTTAGAAATGCTGTCTGGAGGAGGATTCTCCTTCTCCGGCTCCTTAACCAAAGCCAATTCCAGAGACTTTAGCACATCAGCACAACCGGGTTTAGGATGACCCGGTCTCACTACGGCTGCCTTCCCAAGGCT